CTTATTATAGAAGATTCTTCAAACATAATGACATCTAAGAGTTGTTTTGCAAATAAATTTGCTTTTACCATTTTTTCCCATAATAAATAAATGTTTCCATCTACAATCAATGGTAGAAATAGAAGAGCTTGAAAATATTGGAATGCTCTAGTAATAATTGGAACCATAGTAGAAGCAGTTGAAGATGTTGAAGCACTTATCATAAATAAATCTATAAAAAAAATACAAGATCAAGTAAAAAAATTGAATAAAATATAAAATATAAAATATAAAATCAAATAAAATGATAAAATTGAACTTGAAATCAAAAATATTAATTTATTATTATTATTATTATTATTTTGAATAAGATTTTGGATTATAGTAGCAAGGCAGCGACAGTTCGACGGCTATTTGGCAACTATTTGTGGAGGAGGCTTGAGGCGTAGTAGGGAAGCAGGGTTGAAGCAAGTATTCTAAGCAAACAAGGTATAGAGTGGAGCAAGTGCTCTAAACAAGCAGCTAATATAAGACAATCTAGCAAGCAGCTAAGGTGTAAGGGGCCAATAAGAAGTATAGCAAGATCATGAGTCATATACCAAAGTATTAAAAATCACACAAGGAGCAAGAGTAGAACAAGTTTGAAAAGTCAAGACTAAAGCAAAAAAAATTGCGATAGTATGTAAGAGCAAATCATGTTGATAACATATTAAGAATGTTTAGAAAGACATAAGAGTAGTAGTAAGTAATACACACACACACACACACACACAAGAGAGTTTCTAAGGAGAAAGAGAGCTTCACGCAAAAAAATCTATTGATCTAGTTCTGTCTTCTATACAAAAGGAAGAGAAAAGATAAATAATTCTTCTCTACTACATTCGAAATACAGTAGCTATAGTATTTACTATAGACTATAGTAAATATTATGAAGAGTGCCTTCTACATTTAATGCTCTCAACAAAACCAATATTATTGGTGCTCTTCTTTTCTACAGTAAGTATTGATCAATATCTTCATCTAGGAATGTTAGGCTGTACTATGTATTGGCTTTTCTATTCTAAGTCATTTAGATTGTCATGCATAAAACATTCAAAAGATCATGGTTAAATATATAATTTATTTGTTGGTGGTAGTGATATATATATATATATATATATATATATATATATATACACATACATATACTTATTATTCATATTTCAACAAGATTGGCCAAATATTAAATCGTTTTAGATTACTTTGATCTCTAACATTAATAAGAGAATATTAAATTGATCCACCTAAATCTTAAATCAACCTACCATGTGATTTAGAAGTTAGAAAGTATTCCAAAACTTATTCTGGTTAAAAGTGAATATTTATTTATACATCATCTAAACAATTATATTATTTTCTATTAAAAACTAATATTTTATAAAAAAGAGCATAATATATAAATATAAATAATCAACTCAAATAAGATGTTTAATAATGTATAAAGAAATACATACTCCTACAAAAGTATACTTGTATATTTGCATATAAAATATTATATAAGTTATAAAAAAATCATATTGCATGTAATATGTACACCGTTAGTAATAGGAGAATATTAAATCAATCTACCTTAATCTTAGACCAATCTATCACATATTAGAATACATTTAAAATACAAAATTTTGGAAGAATATCAACAAAGTATATGGTTTGATATCCTTATTGATTGTTGGACAAAACAATATATTACATATGAGCATAATTAAATTCATCTAGAATTATTAATTCTTAGTTTGGTTCTTTAAACAAATCCTCTTCAAATCTATTTGTATAAAATTAATTTTCTTAAAAGAAACATAATTTTATAATGTAATATGAATTAAGTTTAAAGCTTAAATTTGAAGAATCTTACCAAATCTTTATATAGTTGCAAACTTGACTCAATTGATAGTTTTAACAAAAAACACATGATCAATAATAAAATTAAGATATATTGTGATAATAATAGAAATTTTAATAAGCACTAATACTGGATTATTACTAAACAGTATTCAAATACTTCTTTTTATCTTACACCACTACATTTTTGAGCTTTCATAGTAAAATCTAAAAAAAAAAAAATGTTATTTAATTTTTATTATGTTTAATTTCAAACCAGAAAATATATTAACCAAATAAATAATTTTTATTTCTAATTTATTGAAATAAAAAAACAGAGTCTGTTTTAAAATTAATAAATAAATTACTAGGTGACAATATGTCTTATTATGATTGATATTATAAAATTGATAAATATTTGATGCAAAATTAATCTCTATAAGCTAGAAATAAAAACACTATAAAATTAACATACAAGTAGTAATATACACTATTTATTTAGAATTGATATATTGAAAGAATAACAATGAAGAAATGCAAGCACTCTGTGCAAGAGCACATTAAGCAATAGATTTTTCTCTCAAAACATAACATGAAGAATAATTTTTGATTTTATTCTTTGAGCATACAGAGCCCTCACAAACCAACAGTTTAGGATGAAAAAATGCTTAACATACAATAATATCTGCTCTTTTACTTTTTCTTTAAGATATCATAAATATATATATATATATATATATATATTACTATTATCCTTCAAACAATGATGTATAATTTTGCGATATTTGCATCAATATATACGTAATATTCTTACAATAAAAACCGGATGAAATTATATTTATACGAAAGAAAAAGGAAAGAAAAGAAATAAGTATTTTCAGAAACCAAGTAGCTTTGCAAAGATTTTGAGTTTTTTTAATACCCTCCTCTAATATAAAGCATTAAGATTAGTGTGGATAGACCGAAACTTCACATACCCCAGAGTCCTAAAAACAAGCCTTTCACAATACTACAACACAACAACAACAACAACAAATGCTATTAATAACAACAATCTCTTGATAACAACTGCAGTTTTCCTACAGAATCTAGTTTCCACAAGAAAAAGAAAAAGAAACACTGTATTTCAAAACAAAACTAAGCCATGGACGCATCCTGACTAAGTACTGAAGAGAGAAGGAGTGCAACCAGAATGTGGTGGCATACCAGAGTGTACTACAACGATGTTCTAGATCAGAATGAAAACTTGGTATAACATGCATCAAATAAACGTGCAGAACATTGAGACACAAGATTCATTTCACAGATGCGACCAGATGGTCTCTATCCTGCGAGCAATTCCTTCAACTCTCATGCGGCGAACGCCCTTGTAAAGAACCCATTGTAAAATGTTGTATTTACATCTCTGCCCTCTGTTTTGAGGGTCGAGTGGGCTAAACAAAGAGTCAAGGTCCGATGCAGATCTAGATCAAGACCCTCCTTCAACTTCCAAAGTTGAGAGTTTTACGGCACATACGCTAACATTACTGAACAATATACACATCATGTGTAGTGCTTTTGTTTATCCTTTTTTTCAAGGCCTGGTGGAGTTTTACATACCCCTTTGACCTGGGATCTACTGCCGGAAAGTTGCAAGTGTCGAAGAAGAGTCTCAAGTTGAGTTCCTACGTGTCCCAAAAAGTTTGCTAGTGTATAGGATTCCGAAAGTCGGCAAAGACAAATTCCCACCAACTCCTTCCAACTCCTTCCCAAATTCTCCTTTTGAGTAACAACCACGATGAATGCGAAGCTAAGGCATCAAATCTTTGTCCTAAATTAACTCGTTGCTACGTGACAGCTGACTTTCGGCTGCTGGCGCCGGGCACTTACAGCCAAACCACCTGATTTCGCTGAAGTTACTGACTAAATTATACTATATCGGGATACATTTTTGGCTTCGAACTGTACCACAATGTATGCAAGTCCAAGCCGAAATGCCGCTCTCACGGTTGTAGCCATGCAAACGAATCGGATGCTCCGCTGGAATTCCGTGAAATTCATCGTGAATATTTTTTGTGTAAAGAGTTTGACGTGGACCAGTCGCAAAAACTATGCTCGTGAAAATGCTGTAAGTGCGAAGTGGACTTCGCCAACCCCGCGTCAACTGCACCTGCGCCACGACAAGGGGATTCGTCTTATTAGAAGAGATGCATTAGCATTAACTTTTCACGATTCAAACAAGAGCGGGAGAGGTCGGCGTGAAGAATGGTTGCTGTGAAAGTCAGCGACTAAAATACGATTATAGTCCACTAGGAAAGCGTGGGAAAATTTTGACTAAGAGCATTTTCGCGGTACAGCCCTCGTCAATCGCCACACGAGGATGCTGTAATGTGGGGTCCGTCAGGATGAATTCGTCTGCAGCCAATCACGGTAACCTTGCCTGTGGGTGCATTTTCATGTAATTCCGCTTTATCAGTGTGTAACATCCTCTGATATCCGTAAACGTTTCCTATGCGCTCCAAAGCGCTCCGAACCATGATATCCGACCGACATATGCGAATTCAACTCTCTTCTTATAATTTTTTTCCTTTTTTTTGTATCCTGCTTCCTGGTTCTCGTTACCGCTGATGTGAAAAGCTCACAACCAAAGGTTGCAGGCAAACGAACGAAAGGAAAACAAAGTAGAAGAATGGGAATCTTCACAGTTTAATGGCGGGGACACAATTGACTCGAGTCACCTGCGGATGATCGAAAACATTGTTAATGTAAAAAAAACTAATTGAACTTTCGTCAATATGATTTAGAAATGAATAACCCGAAAGGATAGAGTAACTGAGAGGTAGTTCTGCATAAGCAAATGTTAACATGGGCTATGCTTTCCTCATCTACCTTCATCCCGTGCAAGTAGTGAGTCAATTTGCCTAGTCTTAATGAGGCGGGATGAGCACCGACCCCAATATTGGTGAATCCCTTAGAGGGTAGATTATGCCTATTCTCCCATGTCAACCCGAATAATTCGATTGCGTCCTGTTAACGGACCCTAAGTTGGCCAACAAGAGCGCGCCACTGCTCCCGCGAAACAGGCGCTGCACAAATTCAGCATTTTCATCTTCCCTTCCTGAGATCCTCGGAGGTCTCCAATATATATATATATATATATACAACACTTCATCTCCATCGTTCACACCGCTCTTTGGAGGTTGTGCCTCTTTAGTGAGGCGGATACGAGAGGCACGTATAGTGATCAATACCATAATTCAGCTGAGTCCGTTACTTAGCACGGTAGCTTGTGGATTTCAGTTCATGTCGGGAAACTAAGTCTGTTACAGAAGCTAGGGCCCGGCCGATTGCTTCGAGAGAGGTCCACTGTCAAGATGGCCTACAGGAATGTGTATTTACTGCCACTGCTGGCTCTGGCATGGTCCAGCGCAGTATCGATGACACTGGCGTTTCGAACCGGTGACTATGCAAGCGCTCTTGACAAGACCATCTTGTTCTACGACCTTCAGCGTTCTGGGAGGTTGCCCGGTTGGCACCGACTGAGATGGAGAGGAAATTCGGGTTTGCAGGATGGTCGATCGAACGGGGTACGTTATTGAATCATCTTTTTTAATCTCGCACAGTGCATCGAAGACCTCTGGAAGTTGCGAGATCTTTGCATGCAATGAACTGCGTTGGAAGCGAATGCCAACTTCTTTGGTGCTGACTTTGTGCAGGTTGATTTGACGGGAGGATACTATGATGCCGGAGACAACATGAAGTTCGGGCTTCCAATGGCATATTCAATGACAATGCTGGCTTGGAGCATTAACGAGTTCACACCAGAGTTGCGTAGAACTGATCAGCTTGGGAAAGCTTTGAATACACTTCGTTGGGGGACCGATTACTTTTTAAAGGCACACACTAAACCAAATGAACTGTGGGTGCAAGTGGGTAGCCCTTGGAGCGACCACGATTGCTGGCAGAGACCCGAGGACATGACAACGCCCCGACCAGCATTTAAGATCGACACGAATCGTCGTGGCTCGGATGTCGCTGCGGAGACTGCAGCCGCCCTTGCAGCTGCTTCGATATCCTTCCGAGGCATTGACAGAGCGTACTCTGCAAGACTTTTGCGAAGTGCACAACAGCTCTTCAACTTTGCAGATCAGTACAGAGGGAAATATAGTGACAGTTTGGCAGGAGTTGTTTGCCCTTTCTACTGCTCTTACTCCGGGTTCAATGATGAGCTCGTGTGGGGTGCCGCGTGGTTGCTTCAGGCGACGGGAAACAGATGGTATTACCAATATCTTACTAGAAACGCTTACTCTTTGGGAGGTGCATCAATGGTGAAGCGGAGTCTCAATTGGGACGACAAATATGTCGGTGCACAAGTCCTAATTGCACAGGTAAGTTGCTTCACATTTTGATACATTGGTGCTGTGAATGTATTTTTATCAACATCAACTTGTGTTCGCGATGAACGTCGAAGTCTGATCTAATCGTGGTTTTGCAGAGTGTGATGAGAGGCAGGGGTGGACTTAATGGTTACAAGGACCGTGCGGATCAGTTCATTTGCAGTGTGCTACCCAGGTGGATAAGCCCATCTTCTTCTGTTGGCCGCACGAAGGGTGGACTATTGTTCTTTGATGGCAACATCAACATGCAATATGTCGCATCCTCCACTTTCCTGCTCGTAAACTACGCCAAGCATCTCACTGCTTCTAGACAGGCCTTGTATTGCGGAGGCAAGAAGGTGACCGCAGGCCAGTTGTATGGTGAAGCAAGGCGTCAGGTGTGGATCAGTCCCATCATGTACTTTGTTTCAAGAGACGATTCTGTCAAGTATTTCTTCAAGATAGCTCAATGCCGACAATATCACCCTTTTAACCTTGTTTCCTTTTGTCTTGTACAGGCTGATTACATTTTGGGAGCAAACCCTCGAGGCATGTCATACATGATCGGCTTTGGAAGGAACCCGATAAGGGTCCATCACAGGGCAGCTTCCCTTCCTTCAGTTAGATCTCACAGATGGAACATCCAATGCAAGCAAGGTTTCGACTGGTTCAACACCTGGAACGCCAATCCCAACCAGGCGACTGGTGCCATTATCGGAGGCCCCGACTGGAGTGACAACATCAACGACAGCAGAGGCAACTATGCTCAGATGGAACCCACCACTTACACTAACGCACCCATGGTTGGGGTCTTCGCAGCCTTTGCAGCTGGAACACGATACTACTAGCCATACTCCGGAGCGTCAGCAGGCTGGTATTAGCGGTACCATCATTATCAGTGATACATGCAAACTTCTCCTCATCGGAACAAACGACGAGGCAGATTCACTGACGAACCTAAACTTTATGTACAATTAGCGGCTCTGAGGAGATCTAGAGTCTCCCGAGCATTATTAGACGTATGACACATGAAGTAATATGGAGTTACTTGAGGAGGCCAAAGTTTTACAAGTTGGACTCCCGGACTCCATATTCTTCTTCTGAGCGATAGGTGAGCGTATTAGCTCCGATCCTCAGCCACATACTAAGATACCTGTAACGTCGAGATTATAACTTCGGGTTGATGTTTTGTTTACTCTCTGTCGACCCAGTTGGCGCATTCCTCCAGCATATTATCGGTGCATCTTGTCTGTTGGATTCATTGACTAAGCCTATTGTCAGCAATTTTTGCAGTTGTATTTCATGACCTGCAGAATAACACCTGATAATGTACGAATGGAAATGTTATTCTACAACAATGCTGCTTGTGGATATCAGTTCGTTCGTTCGTTTCTTCTATTTCAGTTACTAAGGATGCGTATGTCTGATCATACTGTCGTTAACAGCTTGAATAATTTGTATTTTTTGTCAAGTTAGAAATAAAGATGAAACATGTGAAGCATTCTAGCTACTCACACTTGAAGAATTTTGTTCCTGTTATAAGAATCTCTTATTATTTCTCGGAGTAGGCGCCTGCTTCAAAAAGAAGTCATTTTACGGCTGTATCAATAAAATGTGATATACTTTAGTAAACACCTTCTGGTTTTATTTCTATTACTAAATAAAACCATTGTTTACTAAAAGAAGTTTATAATGAGTGTTGATGGAATATATGTAGAAGTGTATCAAATGTTACTATACTTCTTCAAAAAATATTGTGAAAAACGTAGAACAAATTATAATATCTATATATAATAAGGAAGCTTAGGTATAAGATAAAGAAGCTTTCTCATTGGCCAAAATCGAAGAAATCTTTAACCAGAAAATATATATATATATATATATATATATATATATATATATATTTATTTATTTATTTATTTATTTATCCCCTGCTGAAAGACCTCTATTTTATGTGAACAACTTTTTTGTACCCAATGGCACATGTTCCTGCTAGTCCATTCTAAACAAAAACAAAATAGTTGTTGGTTGATTAAAATCTTGGCAAAATTTGGTACATGAAATGAATGTTGCCATTTACAACTTTATAGAAGAATTGTGTGCAATAAAAACATTTGGGAGTTAAAACTATACATAGAAACCATCTTCATTATATATATTTTTTTAATTCCAATTTTATAAGATATAATATTAATTGATTCTTTATCATTGTCAAAATATATATATATATATATATATATATATATCTTTATTTATTTAAATCGATTTAAAGTTTAGGGGTGTCTTTATGTATAACCGTGCATGATGTGATTATATTTATCACTGATTGTTGTTATTTTATTAGTATGTGTATTATTTTTAGCTTTCTCATTGGCCAAAATAGTTTTTATATTCAGTTAAGTCAAACCGATAGATTTAATATTAAATTGATTGTTCTTGAAGATGGTTAATTCATTTTTCTCTATTAAATACCATGTACAATCATAAGGCAAAGCTTTTACAGACCAACATCCTACCCTCTAGGTTTACAAAGCATCTCCTTTGCAGCTCTACATTACTGGTAACCAATAGAATTATTAACGAAAATATTATAAAATTAAATCAACATCGTATCAAAACCAAGATCCAGTACAAAAACTACCAATACCATAAATTTTAAAATTTAAAGAAAAGTACATTTAAAAAACATTCGTCATAGAATAAACTTTTACATTGATAACATGAACGTAATAAATACTAAAATAAATAAAACCATAGAAAGAGAAATCGGAGGCATGAGGGGATAGGATGAATGTGCGTAAATGGATGAATAGGACGCATGGAGCGATGAAAGTCAAAGCGAGACTAACAATAGAGAAGAGAAGGAAAGTACTAAGAAGGGGGTGGGGTGGGGTGGGGTTGGGGGCGAAAGGCAAGGATGGAAAGTGGGACCCTTCTCGTGGGGGATGGACGGAGGGAGGTGGTGCTCGTGCGGCCATTGTGCTTGGTGTGGGTGTGAGCAGGCATGGATACCGAGGCTGGGCTGGGCTGGGCCGGGCTTGGCCATACCGGGTTGGTGGCGCCCACGTCGTGGCTCCTCCACACACACAGCCCCACCCCACCCAGCCCTCGCGGGGCCCTCCCTTCCCTTCCCGTCCTCCACCTCACCGCCCGATCCGTGCGCCAACTGTAGTAGTGCTAGTAACAGTAGTGCGTATGATGGGGGTTGGGGGGAGTGGTAGAGCAGTAGCAGTTAGAAGGGAGAGAGAGGGAGGGTGCATTGGCAAGGAAAGAAGGGGAGGACGAGGTAGTAGTAGTGAGAGGAACAGTAGGGAAGGAGAAGGGAAAAATAACAAACACTCTGAGTGCGCCGCTGCTGCAGCACCATTCTTCTCCTTCGTCTTCTTCCACTTCTTCTAGCTCTCCCTCCCTGCCCCAGCCTTGCCTGCCTGCTTGTGCTTGCTTCTCTGCCTCTCTGCCTCTCTCTCTCTCTGCATGCTTGCTTGCTTGCGCCTTCTCGCCCTCTCGCCTTTGATTTCTCGTCTCGTCTCGTCTCGTCTTGTGTCGTTGGGTGTCGTCTCGAGAGAAAGCTTGAGAGGAGGAGGCAGTGATTGCATTGTAGGGAAGAGGGAGAAGAGAAGAGAAGAGAAGAGTGGTGGAGCAATTGTTGTGTGGGTGCTGGTTGTAGAGTGGCGTTATTGTGTCGAGGTCTTGGGAGTAGAGATTTAGGTTTGTCTTTTTTTGAGAGGGGTTAGATCTGGATCTCGGAGTTGTTTAGCGTTGATTAGAGCTTTTTTCTTCTTCTTTTTCTTCTTTTCTTTTCCCAAGGGGTTGGAGCAGGAGGGTGCAATGGGGCAGCGGGAGGGTTTGGTACAATGGCTTCTGGTGGTGATGGTGGTGGCAGTGGTTTGTGTTGCTGGAGTGGAGGGGAGGACGCTTCTGAGTGCCAAGGATCATCGCTACAAGATGCACGATAGTGTGCCTCTGTTTGCCAACAAAGTTGGCCCGTTTCATAACCCTAGGTGTGCCTCTTATCGATGCTTGACACGGGTTCTTGGTCATTTGTATTGGGGGTTGGTATTGGGTTCTTGGGTAGTTGCCTTTTCTTTCTGGATGAAAGGGTTAGGATCCGAGGATTCTGCGATGACGAGGTATCATGAAAATACTTTGTGGTCTTGTTTGTGTCTATCATTGTAGGGTTTATAAATCCTCACTTATTTGGGGGTTATTGAGACGTCATCCTGAGCTTGTGTACTCTGGGTTCTGGATAGTAGCTGCACAATACTGTTCATGGAATTATTGGAATGAGGGTTCTGGATAGTAGCTACACAATACTGGTCATGGAATTATTGGAATGAGAGTAGCGACAAAAGTAACACATGGTTTATTAAGGACATCCCAGATGCAAGTTAGTGATTTTCCATTTCGTTTAAGACAGACTTGTAAAACGTGAAGGGCATCGCAATGTTGGTTTAGTCTACCGAAGTGGGGATGCTTTGAAGTGAGTAGGTTCGGATCAGTGCTTGAACTGTACATTCAGCAACAAATTCCTGACGTGACATCGTAGTTCACCTTTAGAAGTCTCAAGAGTTTCAGTGAGGCGGATTTCTTTTTTGGACGAGATGAAAAGGGTTACGGTGAATTAGAGATCGTTATTTCCTGCAATGGTGTTCTCTTTCCTGATTCCATGAGCCCGTGTACAATTCGGGTTCTTAGGACAGAGCGAGTACTTAATTTCACTTTTTTTTTGGATTTCGAGGTTGGCTATGGTGACCGATTGTGGTTTTGACGTAATTTTAGTGATCATCTCGGTCCGAAATTGAAAGTAGTTCTGTGCAAAATCTTTCATCTCTAAGAAGTCATGAACACGGTCGGTATTTAATTTGGTATTGAAGTATTTGAGAAATGTAGCGTTGAATTTTTGATTTGTGTTTGTTTTTCAGCGAGACATACCAGTATTATGATTTGCCTTTCTGTAAGCCTGACCACTTCGTTCATAAATCCGAGGATTTGGGAGAGGTCTTGGAGGGTGACCGCATGGTGAACACCCGCTATAACATCACTTTCATGGTTGATAAGGCTGTTGAGAATCTGTGCACCGTCACCCTTACACCTGCCGATGTGATTAAGTTTAAGAGAGCCGTAGAGCATGACTATTACTTCCAGGTTTGTTAATCTTACCACTCTGTTCTTCTTCGCGTAAATAGTCATAACGCCTTTTTGGTTTGTATGCGATAATGACAAAGGCAGAGCCAGGTCCTTTTGAAGTGTGTGCTAGTGTGTACGACAAACCATTGGATTTCTGACACTTGTGATCTGCAATACCCACTCTGTAGTGCTTGTGTTAGCAGGAGTTTCTTTTTTATTTTTCTCTTCCATAATCTGCCCTTCTTTGAATGTTGATATACTATAGCCCTGTCGTCCATAAAGTTCAAATAGATTACCATTTAGTTTCTCTAACAGCTTGGTGGAGTAACTGTTGGAGTTCCATTTTCTGCTCTGGTGAAATATGCAGATGTTCTTCGATGATCTTCCATTGTGGGGATTCGTAGGGAAGATGAAAGAAACGGAAAATAGAGAACCTCGCTACATGCTGTATACTCATATCCACTTTGAGGTGATGTACAATGGTGATCGTGTAATTGAAGTAGCTGTGCGCACTTATCCCAATGAGGCCGTTGACATTTCAGAAGAGAAGGACACTGAGGTTAAATTCACTTATTCAGCCCAATGGGATCGAACCGCAGTGACTTTTGAGAAGCGGATGGAGAAGTACCAGAAACATTCATTTCTGCCTGAACACTTGGAAATTCACTGGTTCTCCATCATCAATTCTTGTGTAACTGTGCTACTACTGACTGGTTTTCTTACCACTATTTTCATGCGAGTACTCAAGAACGACTTTATTAAGTACGACATATGCACTCCTTTCCTCACGTCTATATGGTGTTATTCCAGGATTTTTATAAATTGATTATGTGTAATAATTCTATTTTTTGAATTTGTATTGTTGTTTTCTCTCTCGTCTCCCATTAGAGGGGACATTAAATTTTCTTAGGAACGCTGTGTGAAGAGTCGATGTTCATCTCCATCTATCATGCTTTTAGACATAGCAGTTTTCTCAGCTGTCTGTTTACGTTTTGTGTCAGTTCCTTTGTCCACTATATTTTGAATCCTTTTTTTCCGTGGGTATTCCACATGTTAGTACGTTTGATCTGAAAGTCTTTTGAATTACATCAATGAATAGGAGAGTGAATGGTTTTCATGAGGGAATTAGACTGATTCCTGTTCTTATTTACATGCTGACAAGTGTAACCCTGTTGTTAGGGTATTCAATCTGTCCTTCGTATCTGCGACATAAGCAAATATAAATACATGTATACGAATAGTATGTCTTGATGATTTCCTTTTGGAAAATCAGGTATACAAATGAGGATGAAGAAGAGCACGAGGAAACAGGCTGGAAGTACATTCATGGTGACGTCTTTAGATTCCCTCCGTATCCCAAGTGAGTGGATCGACGCACCTCTCGTTGTGCAAAGCAACTGTGTCGTTGCGATATTTTGCTTTCCTGACAGGGATACGTATCAACATCTTATATACAAACTGCTTTCGAATGTTGCGAGTTTTTATCCATTGGAAAATGCCATGTGTCTGCATCTTCTCCTTCGCTCGTTCTTCATAATAAAACTTGAGATGTTGTCTCCATGCTAAACATTTAATTTGATATTTATTTGAAGTTCAGAAATCAGTGATGTGTTGATAGATTATTTCACTGCAGTCTTTTCTCATAATCTCATGCCTGTTTTGGATGCAGTTTGTTTTCTGCAGTCATAGGAAGTGGAACGCAACTTTTGGTCTTGGTTTTCTTCATTTTCGGCTTGTCTCTTGTGGGTGTTTTCTATCCGTACAATCGCGGCGCTCTCAACACTGCCTGCCTTGTTATCTACGCCCTGACTGCTGGAATTTCTGGCTACGTGTCAGCACATCTTTACCGTCAAATGGGTGGTGAAAACTGGGTATAGCTCTTAATGACTTGTTCGTAAAGCTGTTAATAAGCTCTTTTGAAAACATCCATTCTGCATCATTACTCTTTTCTTTGTGCTGAAAGGAATATATATATATATATATTCTGAAGTGCTTGGATAGAATTGACACATTTATTTACTTATGCTCTCTTTCTATACTCCAAATAATATTCCGTCCTTCTGAGATAGCTCATTTTCAGCACGATTAACATGCTAATTTGTTGATTATTAGATACTCCTGCAATTTCAATTTACTCCCTCCCCTACTTGCGGTCATCTGATAAACGAACTGACGAAGTAACTTAATATGAGCGACTCTCTTATGGGTGTCATCTGTGTTGGTTGCATGGTGTTGAAGGTAAGAAATCTGCTATTGACAGGGTCGCTCTTCTCCGGCCCTTTGTTTCTAGTATTTTGCATCAACAATACTGTTGCAATCGGTTATCGATCAACGCAAGCTCTGCCCTTTGGAACGATTGTCGTTATTGCTATCATTTGGATTGTCGTGACCTTTCCCTTGACCGTAAGTGCTCTTTAAAGCTCTTTAAGTTTCCATTTTGCTGTTTTTACGAGCATATGTTGAGTTGTAGTTTACTGAGTTATAAATATCCATGTGCAGGTTCTCGGAGGAATAGCAGGAAAGAACAATAAGTCAGAGTTCTATGCCCCATGTCGAACCAATAAGTATCCTCGTGAGATTCCCGCCTTGCGGTGGTATCGTCGCACTGTTCCACAGGTATGTCAATAGATCCGTAGGGAAAATAATCTGAAGCGCTCACAACATAAATGTCATATTTCTTCTTTATTTTTAGATGAGTTACTCCAAGGTGACGAGTTTAATTATTTAGAAACGTTCAAAATTAGTTCTTGTGTTCTCATGTTCGAATCCTCAGATGGTAGTGAATTTAGACAGTTTCTGTGTGATATCGAAGGTGTTCAGACACTCAAGACTTGGTGCCTACAGAATGCCACAATTTTGGAAGGTTGTGGTTCAATTGGCTGCAATCGTAGGTTGTTATAGGATATCCGTGCTTATTGGCATACAAACAACAATATTACTGAACACACATACATGAGCAGGTATACTTAAGGAACAAGTGAAACTCTTCAACTAATTGATTCTTTTGTTTTGTGACAGATGTGCTTGGCAGGTTTTCTGCCATTCAGTGCAATCTACATCGAACTCTATTACATTTTTGCAAGTGTTTGGGGTCACCAAATCTATACTATCTACAGCATTCTGTTCATTGTTTTCATCATCCTCATCATTGTAACAGCTTTTATCACTATCGCGCTGACATATTTTCAACTCGCTATCGAGGATCACGAGTGGTGGTGGAGGTATTCTTCAGTCTTATATGTTTTTCAAATTTTATCATTCCAATCTGTATTGAACATGCTTTCCAAATATGGTTTAGATAACATCATTCTCATTCTAAGGAATCTCCAAGATGTTGCCGTCTTCCTGTGATTAGTCTGATCGAAAACTTGTTCAACGTATGATTGCCAAGTACTTCGCTGATTTGTTAATATGCTTTGTGTTCCACTGTTGGATTCAGATCTGTGTTTTGTGGAGGTTCGACTGGACTTTTTATTTATGGATATTGCTTTTATTACCATCGCTTTCGATCCGGTATGGCTGGGTTGATGCAGACATCTTTTTTCTACGGCTACATGGGCTGCGTTTGCTATGGCTTCTTCTTGCTGTTAGGTTCGGTTGGATACAGAGCCTCACTACTGTTTGTTCGCCACATCTACCGTGCCATCAAATGTGAGTAGGCTATTGTGAGCTGCTAGAGCTC